TTCTCTTTCTGATCTTTCGTTGTTAGCGTATAGGAATGCAAGAGATTTCTGTGCATTAACTTTGTATCCTGCAACTTTATACCAAATTCATTGATTAGCTCTAATAGTTTTCTGGTGGCATCTTTAGGATTCTCTATGTATAGTATCATGTTATCTGCAAACAGTGAATTTTACTTCTACTTTTCCAATTTGTATTCATTTCATTTCTTTTTCTTCTCTGATGGCCGTGGCTAGGACTTCCAAAACTATGTTGAATAATAGTGGCGAGAGTGGACATCCTTGTCTTGTTCCTCATCTTAGAGGAAATGCTTTCAGTTTTTCACCATTGAGAATGATGTTTGCTGTGGGTTTGTCATATATGGCCTTTATTATGTTGAGCTGGGTTGCTTCTATGACCACTTTCTGGAGAGTTTTTATCATAAATGGGTGTTGAATTTTGTCAAAAGCTTTTTCTGCATCTATTGAGATGATCATATGGTTTTTATTCTTCAGTTTGTTAATATGGTGTATCACACTGACTGAGTTGCATATATTGAAGAATCCTTGCATTCCTGGGGTAAATCCCACTTGATCATGATGTATGATCCTTTTAATGTGTTGTTGGATTCTGTTTGCTAGTATTTTGTTGAGGAGTTTTGCATCTATAGTCATCAGTGATATTGGTCTGTAATTTTCTTTTTTTGTAGTATCTTTGTCTGGTTTTGGTATCAGGGTGATGGTGACCTCATAGAATGAGTCTGGGAGTGCCAAACACTCATTTTTCTAATTATTTGACTCTACTTTCTTTTGGTTTTCTATGTAGACAATCACATCAGTAAACAATGTGGTTTTACCTCTTCCTTTTCAATCCTTATACCTTTAAGTTATTTTTCTAATCTTACTGTGCAGGCCAGCACCTTCTTGCCAAGTTTTGTTTTTTGTTTTTTTTGGCCACACCCTGGGATCTTAGCTCCCTGATCGGGGATTGGACCCAGGCCACGGCAATGAAGTGCAGAGTCCTAACCACTGGACCACGAGGGAATTCCTTAAAGGGATGTTTCTCACATTCCTTCTTTATGATGATGTCTGCACCATATTAATAAAGATAACAAATATCACCAATATCACCAATAATGGGACAAACTGATATCATGTGTTACATGATGTAATAATGAACTGAGGATATATCACTTGTTTAATACTCTTGCCAAAAATGTATAACATGAATCTAATCACAAGGAAACAATGGGACAAATCCAATTTTAGAAATGTCCTACAGTATGGACACCAAGGGGGAAAAGCAGGGGGTGGGGTGGGCTGTGGTGGTGGTGGTGGTGGTGGTGGGATGAACTGGGAGATTGGGATTGACATATATATACCAATATGTATAAAACAGATAACTAATAAGAACCTGCTGTATAAAAATAAATAAATAAAAAATTTTAAAAATCGAAAAACAAAAGACAAAAAACAAAACCATCAAAAAAGAAATGTCCTACAAAACAGTGGGCCTTCACTGCTTTAAAATGTCAATATAATGAAATAAAGTAGACTAAGAGATATGACAACTCAACATAATTCATGATCCTGAGTTAGATTCTATATACACATATATGGAGAGAAAGATACAAAAAAAGATAAAAAGTAAATTTGGCAGAATGTTAACTATTGGTGAATCTAAGTCAAGGATAATCATTTATTCAAGTATTTTTGCAACTTTTCTGTAGGGCTGAGATTCTTTCAAAACAAAAAGTTCAAACAATTCTGTTTCCTATATGTTAGTGAAATTCCCTTTTCCTAGTTTGCAAAGAATTTTTATCATGAATGGGTATTGTACTCTATCAAATGCAAATAATCTATATTTATAGGTTAACTAATATCAAACCACCCTTAGTTTCTGGAATTAATCCAACTTGCTCAGAATGTATCTTTTTTTTTTTTTTTTTTTTTTTTTTTTTGCGGTACGTGGGCCTCTCACTGTCGTGGCCTCTCCCGTTGCGGAGCACAGGAAACGGATGAGCAGGCTCAGCGGCCATGGCTCACGGGCCCAACCGCTCCGCGGCATGTGGGATCCTCCCGGACCGGGGCACGAACCCACGTCCTCTGCATCAGCAGGCGGACTCCCAACCACTGCGCCACCAGGGAAGCCCCAGAATGTATCTTTTTTTAATTCAATGCTAGATTTGATTAACTAACAATTTTGCATTCATCTTCTTGAGTGATATTTTTCTTTCTTGATCTGTTCCTGTCTGGTCTTGGAATCAAGGTTACACTGGCCTCAGAACAAAAGGGGAGCAGTCCCTCTTTTCCTATTTTCTGAAAATGTTTATAAAAGATTGGAATAATCAGTTCCTTGAAAGTTACATAGAAATTGCCTGTAAAACCACATGGACCTAGTGTCACCCTTATGTGTGTGTTTGTGTAAAATATAATATAAAAAAGTACATAAAATGTAAATGTTCAGCTTAATGAATTGTTGGAAAATAAATTTAAACATATAACTGCCATGAACTTTTACTAGCACAAAGGAGACTCCCTGCTATGGAATACTTTCCAATCATAACTCCCTCCCTCCCCCAGTAGGTAACTATTATCCTGGCTATCCTCCCCTGCTTGCTCTTCTTTAAGATTTTTGTACCTACTTATGCATCCCTTGAAGTATAGTTTAATTTAGTCTGTTTTTAACTTTAGGTAGTGACGTTGTAATTTATTTGGTTTCTTCCCTTGACACTGTCTTTATGATTCATCCATGTGGTGGTATGTGTTTATATTTTGATCCTTTTCATAATTGTAAATATTCCACACTATGGATATACCGTAATTTATATATTCAATTCTTGGACATTTGGGTTTTTGTAGTTTATTGATAACACGAACAATGCTCCCATGCATATTCTTGCATTTGTGTTCTGGTGACATAAGCACACAGTTCTGCATGGTAAACACCTTGGAGTGGAATCTCCAAGTCTGTGCATTTTCCTCTTTAATAGAAACTGTCACACTTTGTTCCAACACACGTGTGCCGGTTTACCCTGCCCCCAGAAGTGCCTGAGAGTTCAGAGGGCTCCGTGGCCTCTTCATCACTCACTATTATTAGATTTTATATTTTTGCCAATCTGGTGGGTCGCAGTGGTATCTCATTGTGGTTTATTAACGAGGTTGAGCACATTTTCAAATGTTTAGTAACCGTTTGGATTTTCTCTGCTATGAGATACCTGTTCATTTTTTTTTTTCCCCTAGTCCATTTTATACACTCAGGAAATGAGCTCTTTGTCATGATTACTGTGCCAATATCTTTTCTCACTCTATGGCTGCCTCTTCTTTCTTCTGTTTTCTTTAAGAGAGATTTTTATTATGCAATTTTTAAAATAGTTAAAGGACCATTCAGGCTTTCTATTTCTACTTGAATCGGTCCTGACAAGTTATATTTTTTTGTAGGAATTTGTCCATATTGCCAACGTTTTCAAATATATTGTCATAAAACTGCTCAGATTAGTGTCTTATATTTTGAAGCTCTACTGATATTGCATTTTGTTTGTTTGTTTGTTCTTGGAGTTATTTGCACCTTCTCTCTTTTATTCTTGACCATCTCTCCAGAGGTTTGTCTATCAGTCTGTTCTAGGAACCAACTATTTACTACTAACTTTGGCTCTTTTTTTTTTTTTTTTTTTTGCAGTACGCGGGCCTCTCACTGTTGTGGCCTCTCCCGTTGCGGAGTACAGGCTCCGGACGCGCAGGCTCAGCAGCCATGGCTCACGGGCCCAGCAGCTCCGCGGCATGTGGGATCCTCCCGGACCGGGGCACGAACCCGTGTCCCCTGCATCGGCAGGTGGACTCTCAACCACTCTGCCACCAGGGAAGCCCTTGGCTCTTCTGATCCTCTTTAATCGATCTTTGATGCTCTTTTCACTGATTTCTGATCTTTAATACTCCCTTCCTCAAACTTTCTTTGGGTTTACTCTGTTGTCCTTTTTCTAACTTCTCAGGTTGAATGTTTAGTTGTTAATTTTACACCTAATATAAGCATTAGTGCTATAAATTTCCCTTGAAGCACCACTTTCCCTGCATCCCATAAGTTTTGTGATGTATTTCATTCTCATTCATTTCCAAGTATTTTTACATTTCTAAATGAATGGGCATTTAAAATTTATCTTTTGTTATTGACTTCTAACTCAATTGCATTGGGATCAGAAAACCTGATCTACGAGATTCCAATTTATATTTGTGATTTTAACTAAAAGGGGTTCTAAGTCTGTTGTTTGTTCTTTCAGTGGATGCTTACTCATGGGGGCTTACATGCTTGGTGTTCTCAGTTTATGAATTTCCCTGATCTTAATCTGTGGGAATCCTGTTCACATTGGAAATGCTTTCCTCTGGAGAAACCTTCTATCTGCTTCTGCTGCAAACCAGAGGCACTACCAAACCCGGATCCCTCTAGCCCCTTCAGAGATTCTACCTCAAGGCAGAAACTCAGGATTCTGAAAAGATCTGCTATTAAGTTAGTCTATATGAAACCACCATTCTGGGGGTCAAAAACTGTTAAATAATCAGCAATTGCATGTGGCCCAACTTACACCGTCAACCTTTGCCGCAGGACAAGCCTGTTCTTCCTGTTCACTTGCTGCTTACCTCTCCTACTTAAATTTCGGCTCAAGGTTTTTTTCCTTTCTTGGAGAGAGGAGGAGGCTTTGGAGATTTCCCCAATGTCTTGTGAGCCCAGCAATGCATTAAGAATTAAATGTTATTCATGAATGAATTACGTTGCAATGGGGTGGAGGGGAGGTCCTAGGAGTCCTAAACAACTGCTAGAAGCTGAAATCCCAGGAGAGGTATACTTTTTCAATGAGAAAACCAAGACTCAACGGGGTGAAATGACTTATTCATGGTCACATGGCTGGTAACAGGCAGGGCTAGGACTTGAACTCACATATGGAACCAAAACTGAGGCTCTTTCTACTCTCTCTCTGTCCTGTGCTGCCTCCAGAGAGCTATTTGGGCCTGAGCTTAGCAGGCATCCTTACCTGGTGCAAGGGGATGACGAGGAAGGCCCCCCCACCAGCACACTCAGTCACGACTGCAATGAAGTGGGGGTTCACAGCACAGAAATGATTGTCGTGGACGCTGCGGGTGATGGGCACGGAGTCGTAGCAGTTCTCCTTGCTGGCTGGTTTGCCAAAGACATGGCGGAACTTGGAGCTCCGGTACTGGGGGTGCCATGACATCTGCAGGAGACAAATGGGACAGAAGGGTTGTGAGGCTCGCAACCTGACAGCAGGACACACGGAGTCTCACCTGGAGAGGACATAAGAGGGCAGGACCAGGACAGCGGTCAGTTCTATGAGGACAGTGACGTGCTATGAAGGGCACCCAGGTGAACAGGCTATAATTGTGGCTACTTCCAGGGACCTGGTGAGATGGCGTACAACTACTGCTCACCTGTTTGCTTTTCATCCCTTCGTGTGCGAAAACAAAAAGGCAGAAAAACCGTAGAGAGAACTCACTCCGTTCCCTCCCCTATCCAGCACTTCACCAGACAGGCCAGCCTCCCCACCCAGCTAAGTGGGAAATATAGTGTCCTCTGGAGCCAGCCTGCCCAGGCTCCAATTCCAGCTCTGTGCTTGCCAGCTGGGTGGGCAAATGACTTACATTCTGAAGTCTCAGTTTCCTCATCTGTAAAATGAGGATAAAGAAAGTATCTGTCTCATAGACTTGTCATGAGGATGAAATGAGATGATACACTAAGATCCCTTGCTCAACAGTAATAATTACTACCACTATTATCATCCAGCCATCTTAACCTTCCCTCTCTCCTCATCTGGCCTTGTATTTGTTCACTCAATATTTACTGAGTACCACCTGTGCCAGGCACTGGGGGTTTGGAGAGAGCAAGCCTGAGCCCAGCCTTACAGGAGTGAAGAGTCCTATGAGTGAGGACATTAGCGGAGTCTGGGCCACTGGGACCCAGTGTACTATAGGTAATAATGGACGTTTGTACATGGCAGTCAGGGAGGGCTTCCCAGAGGAAGTGACACGTGAACTGTGATTTGAAGGATGAGAAGGAGTTGGCCATGTAGGCTGGAAAAGGGTGAGCTGGGGGAGAAGGTGTCCCAGGCAGATGGAACAGCCTGAGCAAGGGCCCTGAGATAGAAGCGAACGTGGAATGTTTGGGAAACTACATATGGTTTGGTAAGATTAGTAAGGAGATGCTAAAAAGAAAATATATATTCACACACACACACACACATATACACGTAAACTGGATGATGTGAACGAGGAGAACACGAGCTGGAGGGGTGAGCAGGGCTAGATCATGAATGGCTTGTAAGAGGGTCTAGGGCTCATTAGTGGCCAAATATATATCATGTGGCCTCCTCTTGGCCCTGCTGCTGCTCAGTTCAAACCCCCTCCCCTCAGTCTCATTGACCCACTGGGCCTTCCCATCTACGCTCCTCATGCAGCCAGAGGGATTGTTCTGGACACCAAACCTGGCTATATTCCTCCCTCCCCGGCCCCCACCTTAGGTCACCCTTTGATGCTCCCCATTCACTGCTGTCCTACAGGATCAAGGCCAAACTCAGCTTGGGTCCCACCCTATATCCCAAGATTTCGCTTTTTCTTGCTCATCTTCTAAACGGCTCCTTCCAGACAAAGCACACCACGCAGCTTCCCTGGTACCTGCTCCTGCATTTCCAGTCCTCTGGGCCTTCACCCTTGCCTTTCCCTCTGCTTGGCTTGCTCTTCCCAGCCCACTGGTGTCTGTACCCATCACTATGAGTCCAAACCCTTCCTTCCCCCAGCTCCCAGGTGCCCTCCCTTTACACAGCACCAGGTACCATCAGCCTCGTGGCGGCAGGTCTGTCCTGTGAAGCTCAGACATTTCAACCTTCCTTTAGGGAGCTTTGACCCAAACCCTGGCTGCATTTGCCAGAGCTACAGGAAGTAGCACGGAACGCAGGGACTGCCTAACAATGCCCATCCAATCCCAGAAACGATGTAAGAAGCCTTACAGAAATAGAGAAAACACAGATAGAAGGAAATAAAAAAAGCCATGGTGAGGAAATGGGGACAGAGGGAAAATGCAGGAACAAAAAGAGATCACCTGAAATGTAGGGGGAGTCAAACTACGATTGTGTGCTGCCAGGACCAGCACACAGGGGAGGTTTTGCGTCGGAGCTTCCTAGTGGTCAATTCGACTAGGGAAACAGAATCAGAAAGGGATTTACTCACTGTCTGTAAGATAAATGCCTGCACTTGCTAAGGAGCAGTACAGCTTTTCTCTGCACTGAGCCCTGAGAGAAACAGGTCCTAAGGATCATCTAAGGAAAGAAGAGCAAGGATAACGATCTCCCTGGGGTCTTGGCAGTTAGTGGCAGCTGAGGAGTAGCCTGGGGCCTGGGCTGTGGGTAGGAAAGTAGGGGGCAAGTCAGCAGGCTCAGCTCCTGGGCCCCCACCCCTGCCTCGCCTTGAGCAGCAGTTGGGGGTGGGGGTGGGGGGCGTCTCTCTGTGGCCCACGGTGATGCTCACCAGACACTCCATTGCTCCCCTCACATCCCAGCCTCCTTGCAGTTAGGCAGCCACTATCAGTCCTAGCTAGTGGATCGTGGGTGGGAGTGATGTGTGCCACTTCCAGGCTGAAGCGTGTAAGACCTGCCGGTGACCCTCCAGAACTCTCGTCCTTGGCTGGAGGGATGAGGAGGCCACATGTTCCAGATGGTGCAGCTTCCATCTTCCTGGGTCCCCAAGGGACTGTGTGAATAGGGCACCTTGCCCCAAACTGACTCATATAGCATGACAGAGAATTAAACTTGTAGAGTGAACTGCAGAGAAATAGTGGGGATACTTGTCACAGAGCATAGCCTACCCGTCCTGACTAACACATTGCCCCAGGCAGGCCCAACCAATGGTAGACAGGCAATGGCTGCCTGTGCTTGGTGTGGCCAGGGCACAGGAGCCTGCAGGGAAGAGGTGGGCAAGCAGGCAGGACCCAGATCCCCTCAGGAGCCATGTGAAAGGACTTGGACTCTGAGGGCAATGGGAGCTGCTGCAGGGGTTATAGCAGGGGAGGATGAGGACCAGTTTTCACTTTTAGGTGGATTCCTCTGATTGCTGAGGTAATCATGACAGTCGCCTGGGCTGAAGCAGGGCAGAGGGGATGGAGAGGGTGGGACGTGTTAGTGAAAAACATGGGAGGGGGATAAAGCAGCCTTGGTGCCCATGGTGGGCTGTGGGGTGAGGGGGCCAGTCATGCCTGCTGAAATCAACATGACCTGGCCAGCATCAACAGTCCTGGCCCCTCTGGCCACTCTCAGCACTCTGCCTTCACACCTGGGGGACGGCTCTGGTTCCAGGTTCAGAGTCAGGGGCCATAAGAGGCCTGGGCAATGCTCTCCTGGAGCTCACAGTCACCTCCATGGCAATAGCAACTCTTAGTTTCGGGTGCTTGCTATGTGCCAGGCTCCGTTCCAAGCGCTTCCCCTGTATGAACTTAGGTGCTACCTTGCTCCCTGTTACAGATGTAGGGGTTGAGGCAGAAAAGTGAAGCAACCTTCCTGGCGTCACACAGCTAGGAGGAGGTGCAGCTCTGTCTCTGGAGCCCCCAGCTCCAGATAATGATGATGAAAGCTCTTTCACACTCATTACACCCTGGATTCCACCTCAGTCCCAAGGGGAAGTGTCATGACCATTATCGCCCCTACTTCACAGCAAAGGAAAACGAGGCTCAGTAAACCAAGCGGACGTCCTCTGGCGAAGGGGCTATTGGCCTCCACTGATGAGGCCGGCCAGCCTCTGAGCAGTGTGAACCTCATGCCCCCCGACCCCTGTGCCGAACTCCTCTCCCCCATCCCACCCCACCTGGCTCCAACACCTTGCCTCCACTGCCAAGCTTCTTCCAGACTTGTAGCCATGAGGGAAACTTACAGAAGTGGGTGGGTGGCACCACGCCAGGTGGGCCGTCTGTCCCTTTGCCCCAGGTATAGGACTGCATGCATATATGTGGGTGAAGTTTGTGCGAATGTGTGTGCAAGTCTGTGTGTGAACACTGCACTGATCAGGGTGTTCCTACGTGCTCGTGTACCCGTGGGTGGGTGTGCACCTGTGCCTCTGTTTGGGTGTTTGTGTCTGTGCATGTACTGCACACGCGTGCCTGTGTTTATCAGTGCATGAATGAGTTTAAGGACTCAGCAATTCAGAGAGCAGGAGTTTTACTTTCCCCACAAGCAGGCACTTGCCTGAAAATGAGGACCATAGCGGGCCTTCAGCACTGTGAGGCCCTTGCCCACGGGCTGGGCCAGAACATCGATCCGGGACAGGTTTACCCCACGCCACTTGTCCTATCCTGCCTGGTCCCATCCAGCTGGGCCCACATCAAAGCCATAGCAGGTCTTCCTAGGCGTAGCGGGCCAGCCCATTAGGGCACAAAGCAGGCGGTGGCACCCATTCTGCTGCTGCTATCCCAAGGGTGCTTAGCTGGCCTGATGCCATGGGATTAGGCTCTTTGTGCTGTGAATTCCCTGCCCTGCAAAAAGATTTAGTCATCGCTGGGTTTAACACCCCACTGAGTTTATTTTTTATCTATTTATTTTTATTTTTTGGTCGTGCCGTGCAGCACATGGGGAATCTTAGTTCCAGACTAGGGATTGGACCCATGTCCCCTTCTGTGGAAGCGAGAAGTTTTAACCACTGGACCACCAGGGAAGTCCCCACTGAGTTTACATCTCAGTGCCTGACAGGGGAATGGCTTGCTGCCTGTCCTATCCCTTACAACTCTCCTGAGGCCTGTTGTCCCCATTTGGTGCAGAGGAAGTGACTTGACCAAGATCAAATTAGTAGGAGTGGAGATGGCAAGCAGAAGCCAAGACATGGTCCAGATGCCCCTCTTCCCACCTCGTGCTCCTCTCTGATGTGTGTGAGAGAGATGGAGACAGAGACACAGAGATTTTCCTGCCTGGCTCCAGAGGCCTATCTTCCCAGCCTAGCCCTGAATCATTGCAGGACAAGGGTTAGCTGCAGGGTGGCTGAAACCGAACCCAAACTGGGTGTGGTACAAAGCAGCATAATAGATTATTCATTAATTGCGCTGTTCCTGGCCTCAGGGAGAATGAAATTACCTGATTTGGTCTTTGAATGTCAATGGTGGGGAGGAGTCTGGCATTCCTGGCTACCATTGTCCCCTTAGTAAGTTTCTGTTTCCACATTTCATATTTGGAATTGTATTTTATTT